TTTTGGCTCAGGAAATTTGCACTTAACATGGATCTCCATTGATTTGGAACCCATTTCTTACACTTTAGTGGCTTTAAGATTATTGGGAGTCAGTTAGTTGGATGGGCCACTAGAAGGGCACAATTAGTCAGACATTTCCAGAACTACGTCATGGAGAATAAATCAAGCAACTGGACAAATCCTCTGGAGAATCAGACATTTCAGATCATAGCATATCTTTCATTTAAGTAACTGAGAATAACACTTCAGAGATTTTATCCTGGTGCCTTCATCAACATCTTTAGGAACTACATGAGACTTCATTAAATGTTTAAGGTCCTTGAGCGACTGCCATGTTCAGATTGGTCTTGAGGTATGACTATTACTGACCACACAGTTACTCCTAGATAGTCCAGGAAGCCTTCCCTGTGGATGATGACGTCTTGAAACTCCTCATGGCGGGATAAGATCTCCAGCAGCTCAAGTTCCTAAAACATTCAGTTGAAAGAAATAGGAGTAGTTATTGCAAAAAGAAAGAAATCTGGGAAGGAATTCATATCTTTTTGTTTGACACATATTCTTCAAGTACACAAGCTTGTTATGGATGCTTGCCATAAACAGGATACAAAATATACGCAGTACATTATATACAAAATACAACATGTACAATGAATATTACTGGGGAAAACATGACCGCTGAACACTGGCCTCCAGCCAAAATACACTCACATACACTGGTGTCAGGTTTCCTATATTGCCTAGTTGTAGAATATCTCCGCTTCAAATGTTCCCTGTTCTTGAATGAGAAAGTTGTATAAACTACAAACATTGTACTTTGTCTGACTTCAAGGGAACTATCTTGCCATGCAATGAGAATCTTGGCAAACAGATGAAGTAAACAGACTTACAGAGACTTTGCTGATGTTACTGGTGGGTGGAGTTGACAGGAGCAGTTTCAGTGTTGGATCCAGTGCCATCTTCTTCACCCTCCTGTTTACAAGGTGGGCTGCAGACAAAGGTTAAATACAAGCCAACATTCTGTCATCTGCTGTTGTTTTCCAAACAGTTAGGTTATATCAACTAGTAGTTCTTTACATTAGTTCTTTAATTTCATTTAAATGCAAAAAATGGACATGGCAGGACAAAAACAACACCCTGGTACAAAATGTATCTACATGTGCATGTATATGTTTGTCAGGGTGGCAAACCGCTGTTACTCATAATAAGCATCAAAATCTTGATAATTTGGTATCAAAAGTAGATAGATTGCAGACTCATTTCCCAGCATTTATGCTGAAAATATTTATGATACTGAAAAGAAAAATATATAGGGTGTGTATGGGTAGGGTCTGCATGGGAGTAGTGATAGTGATGATGTATTCATTGAAAAAAAAACACCCTCCTCACTACTTTAGAGCTCCTTTAAGCATAAATTTTCAAACTGTAGTGAAACTCCATCTAACCATATGAAATCTGGATGTCAAATGAAAATGGCGGCATGTTCTTCTCCACAGCAATGAAGTGCAGTCTTCCCTCCTGCTGGATCTCTGCCACCAGCACACAGTGCTGCCCTGGCAACAAGTCCTCTGTACTCAGCTCATCAAAGTTACTGCTCTCAATGTGTGGCTTCAGACCTGAAGAAATCAGCATGTTTTTAAGTACATGTACATGACATAGGTTTAGCTACTCTTCCTTTTCATTGGAGACTATGACATTTGACAGGTCTGACTGTCACTCAACAGATTTCATAGATTAACTATTTTTTACACTTTAATCAAGGGTCACACAAATTCAATTTTGTTTGCTGAACAGTTGCTTGGCTATTGCCATCTAGTGGAAAGAGGGCCTTACCAATATTACAGTATCGCACTTCAAAAACAGAACAATAGCAAGGACAGAACAATTCAATGACCTTCAAAGATAACAATTATTAAAAATCATACAGTTAAATTCATTATTTATTTTGTTCTTTTGATCACAAACCAACAAGGTAACCCAACCAACAAACAGATCAATGATTAACATAAATAAAGTACTTCCTTTGTTTGAGGTCTAATACACAATTTCAATTTGTTGACTTAAGGTAATATAATAAATAACACACAACACATCCAGGATGTAACTGATAAAGCTACAAACCATTCTATTAACCACATGTTTGTACCTAATGTGAGCAAACGTGCAGAGTTAATCAATCCCACACATAACCGGAAGGTCTAGCCTACATCTATACATACAACAATCCAAAACAAAAAAGGAAGGAAATCAAGTCTTGTTAATGCAGTCATCAATGTGCAGGTAACAGTTGTGCAAATGAGAGACTGTGAAAACTATGTGAAATCTCTAGTAAGACAGTTCTGGAGAATAATCCTGTGTGGGAACACACATATGCACAATGTCCATTATCTTGCTACCTTTTCCACTGATGATCCTGCTCAGACCTACATGTACATAATGGAGAATATAAAATATCTTATATCACTATCATCAAAAATAATTCTAAGCTAAAAGAGCAATTTACATGTAGCAGGACAGAAATATAGAAAACCAGGACCAAACTAATCCTGAGTACTGAGTCTTGATTCTTTTTGTTAGGTGTTGAAGTGCATAACAATTGGTAAATGAGCATGTTAAATCATCTCCTAAAAGTTCATATCCATAGCAGCCTTGTCTCTACTATAGTGTATGTCTACAACCTGTCCAGAACAGGCAGAGGAACTAGCTAGGTAGGTAAGTTGTATATGCTCTGTTGCAAAAATTACACATTTAACAGTTATAATTATATAAAGATCCAAATGTCAGAATAAGATCATGACAATCCCATCCACAACTTCTTAAGCAATCCAGTCCCCCCCTCCCCCAAAAAAGAAGTAGTTGCTGTAGAAAACATGACCCCCCAGGAAAGTGTGGCTGCCTACCTGAGAGGTAGAGCTGGTTGTGTTTGCCCCAGATGACGATGAAGGCCAGGTGCCCCTCCCAGTTCTGGTGGATGGAGGACAGACAGGGGATCTCTATATCCTCCTCCAGACTCACTTCCTCCAGCTCCTCCAGGCTGAACGTCTGGTAGATAATCTCCTCACTTTGTAGGGTGTCATACACCAGTACATTCAGCTGGAGAAAGCAAAAGTACATTCTGTTACTTAGCTTCTTAATAATGTCATTCACTTCTGACGTAAGTGTTAACAGTTAAAGCTGATAATAAGCCCCTGTCACACATACAGTATAATGTAGCTGACCATGGCCCCTAAACCTTTTACAAAAGTTCATCTCTATCAGCCAGGTATAGATTTGGAAGTCAGAAAATTCATATTTATTTCATAAGGTTAGTGAATGATTGAGTATCAAAGTTCTTTATTTACAACCACTTGTTTAACAAGAGTCCATGTTTCAATGACTGTCTGTTATCTTCATCAGGGCAATTATGACTGGTTCACACTTTGCACACCGAAGTTGGTGATACTGCTAACAATGTACAGTCTAAGCAAAAAGCAATTCTGACATCCAGAACATGATAATCAAAAGGCCCACATCCTTACCCCCTTCCTGTAAACATGGTGGGGTTTGCCATAGATGGTGACGGTGGTTGTTTCTGAGTTGCAAGCAAGCTGGACATTCAAAGGGTCACCTAAGGAAAGACAAACTTCTTAAGTAGACAGAACAGAAAACAGTGCTTTGATCAACATATAGCAAAGTATGTCACATTTGTGGAGATATATGCTGCCCAAGTTATGTCTAGTTTTGAAAATGGATATCAAATCATCTTTCCAAGATATCTTTCTAAGACATATTTTTCTTCATTAAACCATCTTCCAACTCATGAAACCAATAGGAAGGCCACCTTACCTATGAAGCTCAGCATGGTGAGTGTCTTTGCCGCCATAGTTATGATCTGTGTGTTCTCGTGCTCTCCAATGGCCAGTTCCAGCAAACTGGACAGGCCTCCTGCCTTCAGGATGGCGACTTTCACCACATCTGTCAGAAAGAACAGTCAAGAAGAAAATTCACTCAGGACAATCAACCTCAAGTCAACTTAAACTCACAGTAATGTCAAGGGTTATTTGAGGTTGTGACAGAGTTTGACACCTGTGATGAACATTGTATGTTTTGTAACTCAGGTCAACTTTGTGTGAAAGGTTACCTGAGGTCATGGCCAGGTTCAGAAGTAAAGCTGCAGCCCAGAAGGTCAGATCAGGGTCAGATGTCTGGGAGAACAACAAGATGGTGTCCAAGATGCCTGCTTCTACAACTTGAAGGTGAAGATGCTCTGCGCGAGAAGACAAGATGAAATATTGTTCAACAACCTAAAAAATTCCTTTCATTGAGTAAAATAGTCCATTCAGACAACCACATGATGTGGCTACAACTTACAACAAACAAGAAATCAGAGACTTAAGACATCCAGAAAGTATTTAATACAAAAGCCTTAAAAGGCTTTTGTAACCTTCAAGTTCCCCCTGATTACTGTTTCTGATTTGTCAATCTCCTCCCCACCCATCTGCTATCAACCTACTCTGCTGACACATAAACCCACAGCTCAGAGCTCACCACATGAGCAGAAGAATCCCATGGTTTCTGCCAGGAGTCTGACAATCGTCACATCCTTGTGTTTGACCAGCGGCTTCAGACTGCTGAGGAGACCAGGACTGCTCTCCACCATCTGGGCCACAGCTGGCTTACCTGCACAAGTTATGGTGTCAGTTTTCTTACCTCCAATTAAGGGCAAAGTTATGCAACATAAACCAACAACTAAGGTCATGCATATAATATCTGTAAATGTACCTGTAAAATTATTTAGGTACAGGTCAAGGCCCTGGTAAAACCCTCTTACAAAGACAATGATTTATCACTAAAATAAGATAGTTGGCTACATGTATAACGTACAGAATGATTGGCCAAACCTCTACCAGCAACACTACAGCTTAATAAGAATTTTGTGAATAGTTTTACCAATCATAGCCAGGTCGTGAGTGAGCACCAGGGCCCAGTGAACCACATCCTTGTCTCCACTGGACAGGCACACAGACAGACGCTCACTGATGTTCCCATTGCTTAACACTTTGTTCTTGAAGGCATCTGTGGAGACAAATCACAGTGACAGTGTGTTATACAAAGTTTGTCTCATAAGACATTTTAATATACTGGTACAGTTAAACCTGGCACAGCCACCCACTTCCAGCCATACATGTAATACATGTTAATAACAGCCACATCCATCTTAAGATAGTTGACACCGTACAAAATGTAATGTTAAGCAACCAAATGTATAACCCAACCAGCAACCACTTTTTTATGCAGTCTAACAGTGCATTCATTCATGAACCAAACTTGATTGACAGCAATACCCAGCCTGGCAGCTGAGATTGTCTCTGAAGCAATTGCAACCTCTGCTCTTAAAACCCATTTTTCAGTTCCTTGAAAAGTTGCTGATAGTGATACCAAGTTTGACTGTACATGTGTGTCACTGCTGTATCACATGCCCTCAGGATAATCATATACTACAGTATGGCAGAAACCTACCATTGTGCAAACAGAGGAAACAGATGACCCTGAGGACCAGCCTCTGTAGGTTGGCTTCACTGGCAGCCAGGACCTTCTGAAGGGAGAACAGTAGCCGGGGGATGGAGCAGATGGTCTCCTTGTACAGGTCTGGCAAGGGGGAGATTCAGTTTGAAAAGATACTTAATATGACAGGAAGCAGGTAATGTTGACTGTTTTTCATATGTAGGTACACCAATAGACCAGTCCCAAAGCCCTGAAACCACCATCAAAACATAAAAATGCAACTAGTTACATACAGGAAATGCAGCTGCTCTCTCATTGGTTTAACTGCTACTTGTCATTCTCTCATTAGTTGTACAGCTTATTGTGATGGACTCTACCTACCTACTACTACGACTACTTTCACCAATGAAAGCACTTTTGTTAATACTTGTACAATGTAAAGAAATCCATTTATTTCTGGTTGACAGTTTAAACTGAAGATAAAGTGTCACTGATCAAAAGTTCAACTCTTGCCACAAATGTTGGCCTATTCATTTTTCACTGTCTTCAAAGAAAATGTCATGGCCAGACCCTAACTTAGATATAATCACAATTACCATTGATAGCAAACTCATGGATGACTGCCACAGCCCAGTACACTAGCTCTGGGTCCTCTGCTCTGACAGAGCCTACCGCATAAAGGACCACGTTGTGACGAGCTATCTCCTTCAGCACCTGGATACTGTCTGAATAACAGATTGACAAACTGTTACAGAAGGGATTCAGACTTCAATCTGTACTTGACCAGTTCAATATAGTTTTCTTGAGTACACAGCCATTTTTTTCTACATTTTGGATGTACATGATTTAAGGTTTGACAGTAGAATGTAGAATCAAGTACGTTATGTGTATTCCAGTTATGGTCTTGGTTTGTTTCATACTGCAACACCTCAAAGCTATAACGCCATTTGATAAAGAAAAAGAGGAAGTAAACATTGACCAGTACTTACCTTTCCCTTGGATGTTGGCAAAAATGACCAGCATTTGGAAACAGATTGTCTGTAGAACACTGTCTCCCTGGGGGAACAAACAGCACAAATATACAGTAAACCCAACAATATTGGGTTAATAAAATCATGAAATAAAACCATCACATACATGTATACACAACATAGTTATTTGGTACATAGTGAAAAGACGAACATGGACATAATGCTAAGTGAATGCGTTAAAGTTGATATAAATTAAATGCTTACGTGGTATTTCACCACCACCTCTGACACAGTGCTGACTGCTCCTTCATTAGTTAACATCGCTTGCAGTGATGCTGGAAAAGGACATACACTTGTACTCTGTCAAAGGCATGCTAAGGGGTATTAGAATATATGCAGAATGATACATCTAATGCCTGTACTTTTTAAGTCCTGAGAATTCTCTAAAGCAAAACATGAACACAACTGGTTTTTAAAAGGCTCTTGAAATATTTCCTAGTAAACAAGAAGTTTCAAGTGAAAGCATTACATACTGTTCAGTGCTAGCTGGTGTAAGAAGAAGAGGCAGTAGCGGACGACATCCCTGCTGTGGGAGTACCCCAGAGTGTACACCATACTGTTCAGCAGGCCTGGACATTCCCTGTTGGCAAGGAAACACACCAAATGGTTGCATTTTTCTCACTATACTATTTTCCAACTAAAGACTTTGCAGAGAATTTTACATGCCATTTTGAATTTTGAAAGAAAATGCACATTGAAAATCTCTAGTACCAAAGTGACTTTGTTTACATGTAGTGTTACAATTCTACAATGAGACCAATCTGAAATTTTTTAGTAAGTTGTTGCATTGTAAAATGTTGTACCAAAAAGAATGTTGCATTTTGGACTGTGCTAGACACCTGCAGACAAACAAGGAAGGACAAAAGGTAATATGAATGCTGTGCTGGTAATGCAACTTTATCATCGTTTTTTCACTGCACTTTCTGCCAACTTTTCTGCCATGTTTTTCACTCTGGCTGCCACTTTTCTCTACATTTACCACTCAACCCTACAAATCCTGGCCAGAATCTTAGTCTCAGTATTGTATTAATCTCAGGGAGACAAACTTACTGGGTCAGGAATTTCTTGTATTCATCTGGAAAGATGGAAAAATACAGGGTTATATTACACATCTCAGACAGACTCTCTCCAGATCTAAGATCAGGATACGATATGTACATGTTCAACATACATATATTTATAATGCGTTTCTGCATAGAAATATTCCATAACTAAGACAAAATTCTTTAAGCAGTACACCAGAGGGTATCTTTCCAGCACCTAAGTTCAAATAAATGTATGGAAATTTGGAGTCAACTTATACTTTTGGTCAAATTGCATTTGTGCTCTACAGATGCCATAATACCCCTATCTACCATCTATCATCTATTTACATGTAAACATGTCAACAGTAACTTATCTTTCCATATCAGAAGACTACAGGATATAGCAGTTTGGATTGTTGACACTGTTCCCAGACATTATTTTGGGTCCTGGCTAACTGCTGTATGGAAGGGTGAAGGGCGGTGATCTTTGCTGACCTTCACTTCAAGTGAATTAGGGCCCGATGCTTGTGTAAAAATTTCCCCCCCAAAAAAAGGGTTACGAGTCAAGAACAGTCCAATATATACATACAGGACATAATACATAATAAATCAAGCAACTGGATGAATTCTCTGAAAAGTCAGACATTTCAGATCATATCGTTTGGTATCTTTCTCATCAGTAACTGAGAATTCTCCATCATTGATGAAAGATAGTGGATGGTATCTGAAACGTCTGACTCTTCAATTCATCCAGGTGCTTGATTTATTTTGTATTACATAATGTTTCACCTTCATTAACATATACGTATGAAATGGTATGAAAATGAGAGCCTGAATAGAGTAGAATAATGTTCCTTCCAAAACCAGAGTCCATATATTACAAAAACAATGCAGGTTTATAACAGAAAATTCTATTAATAACAGCACTTGAGACTACATGTAGTAAAAAGCAAACATTAACAAACATTTCACTTGTTGCCAGGATCCTCTTGTAGGGGTGAATAGGTATTAGGTACAGTCGTAATCTACTTCCTAAAAAATTCAATGTTCTTGTTGAGGTTTGAGGCTACAAACAACTCACCATTGAGTCCACCCTTTTTTCTACAACAAACTGAATTTGACACTTTGCAATGAACTAGAAGTTTTTCTGTTCTACCAACCGCTGTCTGCGATGAGCTCAAACATGGCCCCTGCAGTCATCCTCTGTATCCTAGTATGGATAGAAGGGTCCTCTGTATCCATGGTAACCCCTCCCCTGTGGCCACTGCTGGACTTCAGGAAACAGAAGGCCAGGGTCTGGAGGATCTGCAGGTGGTACTTGGGGGCAATATCCACTGGAACAGATAGACAGGTAAACAGATAAAACTAGTCAAAATTTGGTGCACACACTGCACAGCTACAATATCGGGTGCACAAATGTGCATATGCACATAGTATTTTGAGCCTAGTTATAATATATATCCTTGTTATCAGATTCACTGTTGCACAGGAAATGTAACACTATTAAAGTCAACAAAGAGTTAATGGTATGATTAAGTAAATGACTTGATGTTCTATAAGAAAATGACTTACTGCTTTTCAGCACTACACACAGTACTGTGCAAGCCTTGAAGCTTTCCTTGATGTCCTTGTGTTGGCATCTTCTCAGCACGTAAGTAAAATTGTTAGCTGAAAATGGCACAATAGTTATCAAATATCACGAGAGAAATCAAAATGTCTGGACAGTACATGACTAAATGAACCTTTATATAGTAGCAGAATTGGAATTTGATGGATCTGGTGTTGAGAAATTTGCATGAAGACTGTGACTTCAAATCTACCCATCAGCATGGGGGTTGAATTGAGGAGCAATATTCTTAAACACTGTCCTTTTTGGTAAGTATCTTCATAGTTAATAACTGTATGATGCATGAAATAAGTGACAAGAAGAACTTTATCATCTATTGTAACTAGTAAGTATATACATTTGTACATGTACATTTATTTCATTCAAAAACTTTGATTCTACCCCTACCTAGGCTTAGAGGATACTCATTACCGATGTACACCTGGGTTGAGTGAGGAAAGTTTCTTTTCTACAACAACAAGCCAGGAATGCAAGGAATCCCATGACCTAGGCTCTGGATGTTGCGTTTGCCATTCCATCACCCCCATGAAACTCCTTCCTCTTCGCCCCCGCCGTTCTGCTTCGCCCCCGCCCGTTCTGCTTCGCCCCCGCAAAAAATCTGCTTCGCCCCCGTCGTTCCTCTACGCCCCCGGCGCAATTCTGCTTTGCCCCCGTCCTTCTGCTTAGCCCCCAATGGCGGCACAGCTCACAGTCGACACGAAAATCGTCTGCAAAATAACAATAAAGGCTGTGCCGCCAAATTTAAAGTAGCCCATGCTCCGGCAAACATTCTGGACCACCTTTCTGCCAAGTGGCGTTGCACAAATCCTTCCCATTCAAAAGTTTACCCCTACCTCATGGCCCGTCAGTGGTTCTTACGTTTATAAGTACTGGCGTTTATAAGTACAGCCGTGAGTGAAATTTCCCGTCAGTACTTATAAACGTAAGAACCACTGACGGGCCGTGAGGTAGGGGTAAACTTTTGAATGGGAAGGATTTGTGCAACGCCACTTGGCAGAAAGGTGGTCCAGAATGTTTGCCGGAGCATGGGCTACTTTAAATTTGGCGGCACAGCCTTTATTGTTATTTTGCAGACGATTTTCGTGTCGACTGTGAGCTGTGCCGCCATTGGGGGCTAAGCAGAAGGATGGGGGCAAAGCAGAATTGCGCCGGGGGCGTAGAGGAACGACGAGGGCGAAGCAGATTTTTTGCGGGGGCGAAGCAAAACGGGGCGGGGGCGAAGCAGAACGGCGGGGGCGAAGAGGAAGGAGTTTCATGGGGGTGTCCATGCCTGGTTCAAAGATCAGCTCCAAAGATGCATGTATGACTCCTAGATAACTACCTTGTGTAATCTTGTCCAGTAGCACCTGTTCAGCTGCCCGTCGCAGGTTAGCATTTGGAGATCGTGCGAGAACACCAAGGTCTTCCAGCCGTATTTCTGCAGAGTTAGTTAATTAATTGTCATTCAGGACATCATATATTCATAATCATAATGCATGTTACTGTGAAGGCTATCAGTGAGTGCATGCAACATGAGCAATATGGGAGATGTGGTAATGTTAGCTCTCATAACTCTTGCTGAGCGCCCTGAGACCACCTCACTACCAAAATTGTGAATTTTCAGAGCTCTTCAAATGCAGCATCAGTAATCCATGGGTATGCACATTTCAGGTGTTCAAAACAGTCTTGATTTTGTTGCTGTTATTGTTGTTTTTCAATTTGGTGCCTTAGGGTGCCCAGTGAAATTATGAGAGTTGAGTCAGTTGAAATTAACCGTTTCTGCGTGACAACCTTTCACTATTATTATATAAGTGCAGGTCTACATTTCTCATCATAACCACAATGGCTTGTAGCGTGTGCATAAATAATTGATTAGCAGGTGCATATATGACTTCAAATCGAACTACCAATCATTTAGTGTACACACACTATAGATATGGGACAATTCCATTCATACGTCTATGTAGGTATCTGTTTGTGTCTTGAAGACGAAAACGTTGTACTTACTGTCGTCCACCTTCAACTTCTCGCTCCAAATGCGCTCCACTTTTCTCCGGAGCAGGTAGGACACACACTTGACCAAGGCCACTGACCCGGCGACTGCGGCCAAGATTCGGAGCGTCCAGTCCCCCTCTACACCGATCGAGCGCATGTCGCAGCAAACTGTAGGTTTCACTGCATCATTACATTATAGTAGAGCTGCTAGTTTAGCGCCGTTTAGTCTGATATCGTAAACTGTTTTTCTTGAGAGCGGCAGGCTGACTTCAACTTTCCCGCCGCCATTTTGATTTCTAGGTCTCGCTGGAAGACGTATACTCGTACGATCTCGCGATAGCTCATTTGCAGTGGAACGTCAAGCAGATGTACTGCGTGTAACGTTACATGTATAGGCAGGGTGAAAGTATCGCGGGCTATCGACGCACCTTGCTATGATTTGTTATACATGAGAAGGAGTTGGAAACTGTAGTAGTGCCTCCTTCTTAGTTACCGTTAAGCAATCATCGACGCGGTTCAGATTTAACGCGTTATATATAGCCAATAAAGCGAAAATAACGTGAACTTAATGCCTAGTTCTACGTTGAGGAAACATTGGATCATCAGAAAGATAAATAAACACAGGTATGCCTTTCAAAGTCAGTGCTACACTGCCGTGATATGCGGGAGTGACTTGGGTCAGTGAACCATTATGTGGCAAATCAGTTCAAGGCTGTGGGCCCATATATGAAATGAAACAAATGAACGAATCCAATGCAAAATTAATTGTTAAATGAGCATTTTTATTGTACCGAGCCGGATCGGCGGTTGCACTCATCACCATGATACTGTACTTCTTTCACGGTCTATTGACTTCTAGTCAGTCAAGCCTTTAAGGCGTCTAGATAGTGGCATTACTAAAGAATTTTCGTTAACTTTGACCAAACATAATCATGCGTTTCTAATGTTACAATCTTGGGTTAGTCATGCGTGTGTCTAGAAAAATCGTGAGCTGTCTTGTTACAGAAGATTCTAGCCCGTGGTTGGTTCTGTCACAACCTCCCTGAAAATTGTACGACATCATGATTATACGATGAGCTACAATGAAATGACCGCGCCCGGCTAAAACAGCCCGCCCTTGGCTACTCAAGATCTTCAGATGGATCCTCCCTACAGGCAGCTACTTCGGGTCGGCAGGACGACGGCAGATGACCATCTTGTGCTGGTACGTGGTGCACAGCCTGACGCAGAGCTGCTCCCCCCACACCTGACTTGTGCTCAGCTCCACACAGCTATCCTCGTACATCTGGTGGGCAGAATACAGGACGTGACGTTGCGTGAGACATTGAAAGATGATTGATAACATATAATAAGTGTCAATCAACTGTTGTGAAGTTTCTTGATAGACTAACGCTACTGACTAAACAGTTTAAACCTGTTTCTACGAATGAGACATTGGAAATAACTGGAAGTGGAAGTGACTGTACCACTAACTGATTTTGAAGGAAAGTATCGGAAATGATCAATGAGATTCGATGCATCAAGATGCATTTGACTCTAATTTTTTTAATATAGGTCACATAACTTTATATTATATCCGAATTCATGTTAGATTTGTAGTATACACTTTATATTATGTACGGACGTACCAGCAAGTCCTTCAGTGCGTAGTCTGGAACTCTGAAAAAGGAATACTGGCGGATGAGTTAGAGTACATATAACGTTATCATGAAGCTGATTAATGTTTACTCCGAGAACGAAGGTTTTGTTATCGGTGGGTTTTTGTTTGTGGGTTTGTGTGTATGCTTGTCTATAGAAGAGACAAGCATACACAGAGAAAGTGAGTGAATATTAGTGGTTACTAGTGGTTGACGAGGAGGTCGGTTGGGCGGTACGCGGAGGAATTAGGTGGACTGTGTGTTAGATTGAGTTACGTCATACTTCAGTACTGATACAATCTCCTCCACAGTTCCAATACATTCACGAAAACCCAAAACACTTGTAATCTGCGATTTCATGTTATACATGTTTTTCTGAAAATAAAAGATTTGTTGTTTTCTTTTAATTCACAACGTTCTATATGGCGAGATGGTCAATATTCGTATAAGAGGAACGTTCCAAAGGACCGCTGTACCGTATTGAGCCTTTGAGAATTTCCACGACTGCCTGGAGGACATCCGGGTCCCGCAGGTCCAGAAGCGTCGTGGCGTCTGCCATCAGCCGCTGGCAGGTGTACTTGGCAGTAGTAAAAGGGACGGGAACGACCGGTTCGTACAGCCGTCCGAACGTAACCGGAAGAAAACAGTCATCTCCAAACTTGAGGTAGTTCGCGGGGCAATCATAATCTGGAAAAATATGACCAACATTTGAAAGAACGAAAGGGATGAGACGGGAAAGATCATATCAAATTTCCACCCATAAAAAGAAGAAAACCGCACAGTTTGCAGTGCCCCATTCGATCCAGCCCGTCATGTTTCCCAGGAATTCGTCGACTTCACTGGTACCATTCAAATATTTAAAAGTAAATGAAAATAGTCTTAAATGCATTTATCTGACGACAAAAGGAGCAAAAAGAAACTGCTGACTCACTGGCCGAAATGTCCGGGTCGTAAGGCTGCAGGGCGGGCCTGTCATCATTGAGAACGTACGGGAAGATACACGTCGGAGTCCTGACCTGCGGAGGGAGTTTTACAATTTTGTCAGCATTTCAAATATGATAATGCATGATATGTTAGATGCATGTTCTTATGTTGTATTGCATGCTTAAAACAAAGGATTCATTACTTTTTCCTAATTATGGCGGACAGTTTATCGTCCATAATTTAGTCGGTTCCTGGCTCCAGAGTTGATCGAGAAAGAAAAGCAACTTGTCAAAATATCAAATGAGAGACAGTTTGTACTGGTCAACCCTACCTCCAGTACCTTTGTTAAAATGAATTCAGGCGTTTAGAATGTTTAAACATGTAAATACAGTTGACAACTCCACAAGACCCAAAACAAAACGAAATCCTGTTGACGTTTTTCCACACCTTCAGTTCTTAACACACGCAGAACTGAATTCACCACAGGTAGTAATATGACAGTCGCAATAAGGGTAACATTAGCCCTGCGCGGGCAAATGAACTCTATGGTGGAAAATTATTCTCCACATTTGGCCAAATTATACTATTTTTTACCCCTCGTTGTTACTACTTACATGTACTAGTCTGGTGGAAGCTGTCTACAAGTAGCACAAATATGTTACGAACATCACATTTATCAAAAGTAGTAAAGTATGGAAAGAAATCTAAAAGTAAAACAACAGCAATAGACTTACCACAGCTCCAGTTACATCCCTTGCACCAACGGCCAACAAAACCCCCAAAGCAAACACTAACTTCCCTGCCATCGCCATTCGGACCATACGTGTGTTCTAGCTTATCACTACACCTTCTGTACCGATTTCCTCTTGAAGGCTCAATATGTATCAAACTCCAATCTGTTGCCCTTTGGACTGCACCATGTTGGTAATTACAAGGGGTGCATCAAGTAAAAGTAACAAAAAAAGCAAAGATGTGAATGTGAAGCCTTTACAACTTCCCTTTCAATCTAATAGACCAATCCAAGAGTCCTACCCACCTACCCTCAAACTGTAGAGACACATGTTTGCTGAAATATCTGATGGGCGTGTAGCAACTCTCTCATTGGTCAAATCGCTAATAACCATGCTATGATTGGTTGAATCGTTAATTGACAGGAATGGTGAGAGAAAGTCTCCACCACGCCCTAGGAAGCTTAGGAGCTTGATCAATATCTGATGCAACAGAGCTGTTGACCCTACCGTTTGTATATGAATAATTGACCCTACTGTTTGTATATGTATAATTTATCATCATGTGTACAAAACGTTAGTTGAATCAATTCACCACTAGAATTGTAAGGTGTGCATGAACAAATGCTGATGTTTCATCTCAAATGAACAATAAGCAATGGTAGCTTCTATAATGTTTTACCTAAATTATAACCTTGAAGAAGTTAGTATCATATTAATATAAGAATTTCTGTTAGCTAGCACATATAACATCAGAAAAGACATGCTGAACATGTCCCTATGACAATCCACTTTACATCTTGTTGATGTGTCATTCAGCACTAAGGACGGGTACACTAGTCTTGTGGGTGTGACATTCAGCACTTAGGACAGGACCAGGCGTCTTGTGGGTGTGTCATTTAGCACTAAGGACAGGGTCAGACGTCTTGTGGGTGTGACATTCAGCACTAAGGACAGGGTCAGACGTCTTGTTGGGGTGACATTAGGACCAGACGTCTTGTGGGTGTGACATTCAGCACTAAGAACAGGGCCAGACGTCTTGTGGGTGTGGTATATTCAACACTAAGGACAGGGTAGAAGTATTGTTGGCGTGCCAGGGACACCAGTTTTGTTGGTGACCTGGATTCGAAATACTAAGCCAAAAGCTAGTTTGCCCTTCAATATTTCAGGTTGCCGTTTATTTTAGAAGGCAAACCATAAGCCAGGCCATATGATAAGTTATCGCTCACATGCTAGCTGAGGTAGGACAGTGTACTTCAGAAGCCGTAAGCTGGGCCGCTGTAAACTTTTTACCTCCATGAAAAATGGAGGTATTGTTTTTGGTGTGTGTGTCTGTCTGTATGTATGTATGTATGTCTGTGTGTGTGTGTGTGTCTGTCTGTCTGTCTGTGTGTGTGTGTGTTTCCGCAACTTTGTGGTCAGCATAACTTCAGAACGCCTTTATGGATTATGATGATATTTGGTATGTTGGTAAGTCTTAGGAAGATAAACGTCAAGGTCAAATATGGGCCTCCTGGTGGATGACCTTGGTACTGCAGCAGAACTTTCGGTTTTGTATCTTTTGTCCTGAACATGCTATGGTCTTGATGTTTTGGTGACAGATTGCTTTTCCTGTCAGAAATAAGTGGTGTGAGTTTGGTCCCCCTAGCAGCTTGTTCTGGAACTGCAGGGCACTTTCTGGCGAAATGTTTAAAAGCCAAAAAGTCCAGATAGGAACAACATATTTTCATAATTTTTGGTGTGTAGGTAGCTGAGAGAGAGAGATGTACATGATTAAATGCAAATTATGCAAATGAGGACATTATTTGCATAATTAATGAGGAAATTCTATAATTACAGTGTTTTACATTATACTACTTTCATACATGTAATGTATGTAACCTATGGCAGGCAGAACATCAACAGATACTAATTATGCAAATGATGACCTAATTTGCATAATTTATGCAAAAATTCTATGATTTCTTAATGGTGAATGATGGGAATGTCATACTTGGGACATCTGTAACTTAATCAAAAGTTAACATACATCATGATGCATATATCATGTTAATGCAGAGGTAATTTGCATAATTAAAGAAGAAATTTACATTTACATATTAAGCCCATATTTCATGGAGGTATGAGATCTCGGAATTCTTTTTAAAGTTTGATTTGTTCCATAGTATGGAACAAAATTTAAACTTGCGCGCCAGTAACTGATAAGTCTCTCACAGACTTGCGCGGCGCGCGTGAGTGGATATTTTGAACCCTGGTGTTTCATTCAGCACGGAGAACAGGGTCACCCGTTTTTCTAACGCTGAAGGCATGTCATTCAGAAACTAGACAGGGGCGAGTACTGGCATCATGTCATTTAAGAAAAGCCTGCAAATCGCTAAGATAAAAAGAATAATTGTCCAGTCGTGTATCCGCCATTACGTGTTGAGGCTATTGTCGTAAAATGCGTCGCACACTGATAGCAAGTTTGATATACATTACAACAAGACATCCGCAGCAGTATTGTATTACAAAATTTATTGATAACAGAATCTTGGAACGCAGTGAAAAAAGGATGAAAAAGAGCGTCGTTTGTGACAGGATGTTTTGGTTCGGGCCAAATCAAACATGACATAATATCTGTCTGTGAATATCTAGTCCAGTATTTGAAGACTGCAAATGCACATGTTATACATAAGACAAATTGGTTATCATTGCGGATACCATAAATTGTTTGGTTTTGAGGCTAAATTCGGCTCCTTTGATGTGATTCTTATGACTCCAAAATCACACGAGAAATAAATCGGGTTATCGTTACAGATAACATCAAAACGTTTTGGTTTTCAAGTTTTGCGACACTCCTTAGGACCTAGATGTCCGTACGATGACCCAGGGGCCATGGTTACCTGCTGTTGACCGTCCGATGTTTGAATCCTCGTTTTTATGTACGGTTACAGTACGGACTTCTGATTCATATACTAGTAGCAAGTTCCCCACACTCGACAATGCGACGTTTGATCCTCTAAGTATTTATTTTACACATAGAGATGACAGACTGATGAATGTGCGCTCCGCCCAATATCCGTACACACAGTGATAGTTTCCTTGATATATAAACTTACGGGTGTTGTTACCTCACCATAAAGGCGAGATAACTATTGTAATTCCCTGTGATCTCTATTGTTGTACACAATGGCGGGCTTTATAACTTTGACACGACGCGTTACTGCGACTGAAGCATAGGAAATCTTATAATGACACAATTTTCCTCTGAAACACGAATTATGTCCTCAGAGTAATTTCTTCAGAATGCTTGTAGATATTCCTCTTAAATAGACAGAATCGCTGTTTTGGACACAACGTGATGAATTGAGGTGACTGAACTAGTCGCGGCTGTAAACAACATTGTTTTTTTGGTTCTACCACATGGCAATATAGTCTGAAGTCCAAGCTCCGTAAGTTTTTTCCTTTAAGACTCAAGAAGAAGGAACCGCAGAAAGCACAAGAAAGCTAGATAGCCATCTCACCCTGTCTAATTATTTCTACGTGTTGTCGTTTCCATAAAAATGTGGTTGTTTTGTTCTAAATAGAGAGCCAGTGGCGACAGACAATGACAAATGATGCGTGTTAACCTTACGCAGGTGTGTGTCTCACCCAAACTTAGATCGGAGCGATAGACCCTCCATGTGTCCTAAAATAGCTTTTTTCTTCTTCTCGTATCCGTTCCAAGCCAGTACCAAGCAGCAGGGAGGTAAAGATGAAAATGTGGACTCCTAAGGGCGTTTGGAACATTTTCTCTGTGTATCCCTTCCCTGGCAAAGTATTACAATATTGTAGCATACTTTTTTTCATTAAAAGACTAATGGCTGCTTATGATGGGGTGCGAGTGATTTTTCCAGATCCCTTCCCAGAGGGGTAATGGTTCAGCCCGTGGGCGCGAAACAACAGAAGTTTGCCACGTCAGGCCCCAACTCAGTCACAGTCACAGGGTCTCTTGGACGAAAGGGGAGTCAAATCCAAACAGAACAAGATCACAGTCAGACTACCCTAACGACTCACTCCAGATGGCGCCGAAAAGGACGTGGACTGTGGTTATTTGTGTTCTGTTGTTGACTCTGAGTCCGCTGGGAACATCTAAGCCACTGGTAATTTATCTTTTTGTCCTTTCGAACATAATTGGGTATCTTAAACTTTTTTCTGTAGTGATATCGAGATAGCAGGTCGTCTACCGGTACCCTACATGTCTGCGACGTAACCAGGCATAGGCAGAAAGATGTAAGTGAAGTAAGGAAGTAAAGTAGGAGGTCGACATGGCTTGTAAGCCTTGTTTGTTATTTTCTTGGATCCTCCTCTATTTGACTGTTGATTTGAATTTTTCGCAAGAAGTTTGGTGAAATCTGTAAATCATGCACATGTACTTTTTTCAGCATTGGCCAGAGTGCTTTGCTCTTTTGTGAATTTTGGCCTATTGCTGATTCCTAGTTAAGGTTCTCTTCTGAAATTTTTTTAGACCCTAGCTTCCACCTGCTATGTCAGTAGCGCGCCGTGCCACCGGTGATCATAATGATCCCCATTTTGCGCTATTAAGCAGTTGGGAGTAGTTGTGAGCAAAGTCGTGGGGATGTCCTGAATGTGTAAAACGAGGCTGTCTCACCGGGTAATATGTGAAATGTGCATCAATTTCAATGTACATCGATGTTTTTGGAGAACCCATGTAACGGGAGGTGCCCTAACATAGCACGCTTTTCACGCACCAGAATTCACCACGCTACATCGATAGTTGTCAAAGAGTCGTCAGGTTTTGACGAATGAATTCTAAAAGCAATCATTTAAAGACCATACTTGGAGAATTAATTCATTCATACTGTTTATCAGCCCTTCACACTGTACGCATTACAAGCGGCAAACGCTGTGAGACGTTTTCGCGGATGTGCTGCGCTAGACAGTGTGCCTAAACTTGGCACGCTTTTTAAATTTGTAACTTTGCTCTCTTCAGGTGTTGATGATACATTTAAGTAAAGAGAAATTTCGTACGATACGACGAATGTGACCCTGCCGTAACTGCGAAACTTCTACCCACAGTGGTGTGTCGAGCCGTACGTCATTATGCACAGCTTTGGCCTGCCAGACGTGGTGGAACCGGACAACACAGGTGAGTTTACTTCTGATGATATTTGTTGTACCGCGAACCAGAGCTAGGATGCAGACATCATGACACAAAATATTTCAATCTGGGTTATGCTCCGAGCACGATAGCAAGAGGTAGTTTGTGGGCTGTTTTTTTTTCTTCACTATCGGACGTGGCCCCATTGAACCCCCCCCCCCCGGGGGCTGCCGGGCTCTTTAGTGGCTGGGTTGGGCCCAGGATGTTTAAAAAGGGAGTTGAAAAGACTTGGGGTCGGTGACAAAAATATACCGTAACCTAATCGTGATAACGCCAACAGTTCCCCTCCCTCTACATCAGACCGACAACCAAAGCATAAAACAGACAAATGTGGTCCATCCTTTTGCAGGGCATGATTGTCCCCCGCTCTACTCATTGTTTGGCAATGACTGTTTCCGCTTCGTGACTCCCGGAAGCTATCATAATCATGTCGAGGTACCGTTCGCATCGGCGAAAGCGGACTGCGAAAGTGTCAACGCAACTGCGGTAGAGTTGGTAGACCTGTTGTATCCAAATGCCCAGAAGGTTACCCAAATCGCCTTACACAAGTACGTCTCTTCACGTTTTACCTCTCATCATTCCCTTCATACTAATCACGACGTCGCCGCGGTGTTCTTTTAACACCACTCTTGTTTTGGTTTATGGTGTCATTTGTGACAGATGAATGTATTGTTCAAGTGTATAAATAAAATGATGACATTAACCGAATTACCACAATTTACCACCGGTTTCCTGTTCTTCCAGGTACGAGGGGAGACGCGAGTTGATCGTAAGTTGGTTTTAAAGTATTACTTTGTCTGAATTTGTCCTAAATATTTTATTTTACTGGGTCGCTTATATTAAAGGACAAACAGCTAGGCAATGCCAATTCCAAAGGGCCTGCCCTGCTCAAGACAATAAACTGGGTATTACTGAAACACTAGAAACAAATGTCTGAATAAACCCTTTGCCAATATACGTACCTACAACCATGCATTCTCATAGCAACACTAGTTACATTGATATGTCAGAATCTATGCGTCACCTTTATTTTTTGTAGGTGGTATTACCCTGAATGTGCACTTTTAAACGTTTGCGTAGCCCGTAATTGAAGGATTGGTTTATCAGACGCACAAACCCACAAGAGGAAATTAATTGCTTAACAAAGAAATACTAAAAAATCATGAGTATTTTGGCATCGATTAAAGGTCATAATATAATAATATAAATATGCTCCATACAATCAGTATCTGTCCATGGTGCTGAATACGCCATCTGTCAGCACTATCAGGATGTTTACACTCCCTTTAAAAATATCAACACAAAGACCGTAAACCGCTGAGAGACCAAAAGATTGATAGATTGATCGCTTAACAAATTTGATAGATACGCGTATTTTTCATTTTCGTGTACATGCATGTTCTTGTGTATTAAAGCATCGTTCATTAGAATCCAAGCACTCATATCAAGGGTCACACATTTTCAATTTTGTTGCTCAATGGTGGCCCCGGGATCGCCGCCTGGTGGAAAGGGAGTCTTAATTCTTTCTGTCTCTTAGATGGACGATAACTCGTGCGTGACGAGGGCATACAATCAAGAGTCGGGCCAGTGGATTTTGTGCTCCGGGATATGCCAAAAAAATATAAACAAGGTGTACATCTGCACGTGTCCCGCGCTAATTGTGACATAGGTCGGCCCATGCTCAACTACATCTGGAGCCTACATATGGAAAATCGAGTTAAGCTTCTAATGCATCTTATCATATCGCTATAGCCTGTTTCACCATGACTAGGCATAACTGTCCCGATGTTAGAAGTAAATGACATTCTGCTCATAAATTAGGACACAGCTACAAATGTGGAACTGTGACCGTTCTTTGAACTTTTTGTACGCTAAACACCTACATTGTAACACCTGTTTATAGACGATTACGGCTACCATCTAATTTGAAGATGCTTGAGACATATGGGGTATTCGTTTCGTACTTCAGCTACCGATTATCCCAATTACGTTGTGAGGCAGGCTATGATAGATACAGAAGATGTTATCGATAGTGCCCGGATGTACAGGACAGAAACTCAATACACGTAGGCGTCGGATAAAAACATGATGTAACGCGAGGAGTATTGACGGTAGTCTGTGGAACGGTGGCCAGTTGTGATCGTGCTCTGATGAGCGCCACGAGAAGTAAGAATCACAATGTTGTAGAGACTAGCCACTGTCTAGCCGCATTGACTGTGCAGGCTTGGAGAAAATGTGATGAGGCCGATAGCGAGGGATGATATGTCCTGCCAACATTAATGTAATCGGCCTAACAATTGACGGTCAGGAAATAAAGAAAACAATAAAAACAGTATATCTCTGCGTCTTAAATGTTGTATCTAATTAAGGCTACGCAGCATTGTACATTTTTTTAATATTCCAACATTTCATGACTGGACATGGTGACAGCACACTCAAGTTATATCAACTTATTTTATGCCGCCACCAACGCAGGGGACGAATACAGGACAGACAATACTCATTTGCTCTTGAGTTAAGTGAGGAAAGTTGTGTAAAGTGCCTTACACAAGGGCACATGATTGGTTGCATGTCAGGACTCGAACCCTGACATGCATGACACTCTTGGTTCCGAGTCGAGCACGTTGCCACTACGCCGCACGACCCCACGTGCCCAGTTGTATATGTATGTGTGCTCACGGTAAAATTACCCAGAATTACACACACACACACACACACACACACACACACACACACACACACACACACACACACACACACACACACACACACACACACACACACACACACACACACACACACACAAATGTACACACACGAACGATTTCGTGAAAGCTGGCTCTATGTTTGTTATCGAGTTTTAAAGGTTATGACAGCAGCTGTAGTATTTTTGATAATGGCTAATGGCGACTCAAACCTGATGAAATGGACATAACAGCAAGATTTCATGACCTAAGTATTATCAAACCACTTGGCGAACTACTGATATATAGTTCGCTATTTAGCAAAACCTACCAAAGGGGTTGTTGGATATCACAACGTTAACATTATTATCGGCCGATCTCTATCCTTTCATCGTCACCACACAAAGTAGAAATATTGTGTTTTTACCCACTCGTGTTCCTTTCATTCTTGTCTTTTCTCTCACTTTTTCTTCTTTCTCTTCTCTTTGCCCTTTATTCTTTTTCTTCATTAAACATTTGTTAATCAACATTCAAATTTGTATGGACGGCTTCGATAACGCATATCTTAAAATGAATTCTGAGACAAATTCTTATTTTCGTTTTTTATTGGTCCACGCTATATTTTCACATAGCTTCCGAATCCAAGCCTGCACATTCAAGGCGGCTAGACAGTGGCATCATCTTAGATTTTATCTCTACTAACTTGATCTCTACTTCCTTACGTTCGTCGAAGTACGATCACAGTTGGCCACCGTTACACACACTACTACAATAATCCAGTATCACCTGCGTCGCTTAAATGTGTACTCTCCAAGCAGAGGATAGGCCTGTCTTAGACGTCTTTGAAATCATTTTTCGGTATCTTGTCGGGCTTTCTATTCTTGTGGGCTTTAATATTTCCTTGAGTACCCTGGCCTATCCATGGTTAGGCATGAAAGTCTAGCAAAACGTCCAAAACAGGTCTAATCTTTCCTTTTACAGCACAAATGTATCTCCGCCCTGTAGATCTGGGCACTGTCGCTAAGCTCTACATCTACTTAAATCTTTTTCCCTCTAATATGCTTTTAATTTTCATTCCTTTCTGTAGGCACTGCGAAACTTCAATTTCATTCCCAGCCCTTGACCATTAACTGCAGAATCGCTTTCCGCCGCTAGTGAGTGTCGTTGTGGCCTGTAGCCTCGTGCGCATGGCCACACGGAAGCTTGCAGAAGATCATCTTGTTGCGTTTCTCGTTACAGGGACATGCAGTGAACTGCAGTCCCCAGGGTGCGTCAGGGTTCAGAAACACACAGCTATCGTGATCCGCCATCTGAAAGATAAAGATGAAAGGAGAGATTACTGATATGAAGGCTACTGTCTTTAAAGGTGGCCTTTTAGTTAGGATCCTAAGTTCTGGCAGGCCACAATGTTTTGCTGTTTGGAAATACACCTGTTAAATCACTACTCGACGCAGGTGCAAATTAGTACCTAACGTCGGTTAGGGACGTCCTCTCGGGTAGGACGTTAAGTCATGTGCTGTGTTTAAGGTGAGCCACGTGAAATTAGGATCCCTCCCCTGTGTGATAGGTTCAAATCTGGCAGTCTAGTTTCAGGATTGACATCTTAAAAAGGTGATAGTCACCTGTTATGCAATCCTTCCACAAATGTGATAAATCTTGACAACCAAACGACTATTGTGAATATATAACGATTTAACAGAATATATCTAGTAAAGTCAACTGTGGGCTTGGGAATAAACTTAAGAAGAACTTAAGTCGGGAGACAGGTGCCATTTTCCAATACACCAATGACATAGTACTTTAGTGATGGGGTATTCTATCCCTAACAACTCAGGGATGAAAAACTTTGGACATGTATTCGAAGTTTAAATAAGTGTGTGTTTCCTATGCTGGGAACTTACCAACAATTCACGAATCGCCCCTTCCCTGTAAAGTTAAGGAGAAGAAGAATAAATATTTTTGCACAACAAATAGACAAGGTACAACATATATGGTATCTACTGTTATGCGACAACAAACATACTATGAGGCTGATCTACATTACAAAATATCATGTGGTATGGGAAGAGAATGCGCTTTTGACAATCGTCGTATTTTTAATAGATATTGTTCTATATTTGTACAATGTCACATGTCAACACATACGCACAACAATGGTGGACCTGTAAATGTGATTTAGTAGTTATCATCTGTTTCGTTCCCCCCTCCGTTGTGGTCAGTTGTAAATTTGAGTAAACAACCAAAAGGTGTTAAAAATATGATCTTCATTTTGAAATGAAACAATAGATCGATGGTTATTGTTTAGAAATAAGAGAACATAAAAAGTAGATTACTCTTTAATGAACTCCTCTGCCGCCTTCATGACATTCGGGTTGGAAAGATCTATCATGGTTGCGAGACTTGCGTTCTGTATCTCGCAATACTTCGTTGCTGTTGTAAAATCCATTTCAACAAGTTTTGAATAGCTTCCAAATAGATGTAACCTGACACAGAGATCGCCAAACAGACGGTATTTCGGAGTAGAACATATGTTTTCTGAAAAAGGGAGACAAAATCTCAGATGACATCGCATAGTGATGAAAGTTGCCAGAAAGGAAATCAAAAGAAATTATTTCATCAATCTGCATCTTATTCGAATGAATTTTAACTACAATCTGCATCTTTACTTACAATATATGTGTAGGCAGTGACAGCCCCTTATTCATACATGTGTTTATCAATGCCATTGATTTTCGCATTCCGTTGTTTTCAAATTTTGTGCAATTGGTGTGTGTGGGTCCGATCACGTCGGTCAAGCGGTCTTATTACGTAAACGGCTGCCTTAGTTCCTTTTCCGGCTGTACTGCCAAATGAATTCTACGACACCACATGTACAATCGTAAGACGACCTATGACGAATGTGACCGCGCTGTAAGAGTGGTGCTTACCTCCCGTTTCGTCCTCTTGGTAGTCGGTCGGTGTAACCCCTCTGAGGACATACGGGAGCACACACAGGCCGTCCTTCTGTGCGGAAAACAGTGACGTACTGTTACGCTTTTATTCATCAACTTCACATATACTAGAGATGGTATTGTTGAACTGCAGCAACGTCAATACAACACGACTGCCATTTTATTGTGGGCTGAACTTTATACAACAATGAGAGTGATATTCCCTTCATGTGTATTCAAGATGTGTATCGAAGAGCCCCACGACTCAGGTACGCTTTTGCGTATGCAACTATGTAATACCGATCGATGTGTACGTACTCTGTAGCTGTGCATCCGGCTACATAGGTGAATAAAACTATTGATATCAATTTGGAGGTAACGGAAAGAAAACATTGTCTACTCTCTAGATCAAAGGGTTCATTTGGTGGATCAATAATTAGATAAGGACATCATTTCTATAATCTTACCTAATGCTTTGTTCTGAAGATGTTGGTATGATTATACGCGTGTTCAGATGTTGATAACTAAACATCAAAAGAAGAATGATAAAAGACTTTTCGCTGGATGAAAGCATTAATATATACTATGTCCGCCTTCAAGAGATTGATATCTTTCAAAATGGGGAAGGACAGTATTCGGAAACTTGATTTGCCCGGGAAAACAAAATTTAGGAAGAACGCGAGAACAGTTGCTCTTGAGTTGGATATCAAAAAGCATTGTTCAATTCCAAAAATAGCTACATCGTTGTTTTCAGAACACAAACATTTATGTATTCCGTCCACGTTGTAATGGTGAAGACGCTATGAAAGATAAAAACGAAAACATACGGAAACATTACTATAAGAGCACCACGCATGTCTGTTTAGTACACTTGTACATAAACGAGCAAATTCGGGCACTACTTTAGCGCCCTCTAGTGGTCACCATCGGACTCTAACAGGGGAAGCCTTACAACGCGTCACGTCGCTCCCGCCTGAAGACGCCAGTCTCCAGCCTGATGTGAGGATCACAGCCTGATGAAAAGCCCCGGTCACACTGGCCGAACTTTGCTGGAGCGTTCCTTTAACGGTAGGGACGGGGGCAGAATTTCGACAACGCTCGTCACCGCGCCCAAAATGTGGGGGGAAAAATTAAAACACGGGCGTTGGCTTAGCGGTGCACCGCTGAAGCCGGCGTTGCTTTAGCGTTGGTTTGGCGGTAGAGAGCGTTGGTTTAGCGGAATCGCGAGCGTTGGTATAGCGGCGTTCTCCGCATGCGTTTAGCGGCATTCCAAATGAGCTCCTGGTCCATTTCTCACCGTATTTATAGCAACCAAATTCTGGTCCTGCTCCGACACCTCTATACCAACGCCAAACCAAAGTGCATTGCCGACATGGATCGCTGCTTCAACGCCTGACACCTTTCCAGCAACCCCGTGTCCGCTCGTAAAACGCTTGCAACCGCTCCAGCGAAGTTTGTGCAACGTTTAATCGCCGCCCGGGCAACGATGGCGAAGCAGCGGTGGTCCAGCATTCAAGATTTCTGCGTTGGCCTATCGGACCCAAGCGTCCGCGATCTTGCGTCTAGCGATGCCAAACTTTGACTGGGCGTTGGTGGAGCGGGGGTGAACTTTGCCGGGGCGGAAAATTGCCCCCTCCTCACCGCTCGCAATATTTTTAGCAGCTCAAAACTTTCCGAGCGGTAGGTGGGCCCCTCCAGAAACATCAATGGTGGCCGGGCGTACACGGCGTTGCTTTAACGGGGGCCAACTTCTGTTAACGGTGGTGAACGGTTTCGAGCGGTGATGAATTTTATTCACCGTTCAAGGAACGCTCCAGCAAAGTTCGGCCAGTGTGACCGGGGCTTAAAGATCACAGCCTTCTTGCAAACTCAACGGCATCAAAATCGTACGACGACGACGTAACTTTACATTTGTAGGTAAAGTTTTGAAGAGTACTTTTACTTATGTATCAACCATTGAAAAGTACCTTAACTTATGTCTCTAGAGGGAACGTACGAATCAACGGATGCTGTACATCCTAGAGGGCAGGGGTTCGATCCCCAGCTCGCTGTGAGGGCGTTAAAACGGCGGCCCGTGTATGGGTCAGCTACAGTCGTTAGCCTCAAGTGTCAAACCTCCACAAGTAATAGAACACACTTATTTACCCACTGTGCTTGGACTGAACCGTGGCGAAGTCCCATTGCTCTTTCAACTTTTGGGAAAAAAGCATCAAGTTCGGCGTAAAGTAAGTAGCATAGGATAAATGTCCGTATACATAAAAGATCTTTAAAAAAAGATAACAAAGAATATCTTCTAATTCTTAGAAATAAAGCCAAAAGTACCCGTGGCATCGCCTTTGATGTTGTCACGACCAAAAGTAACACCAAAGTGACACAAGTCCGTCCTAGGGCCATCTTCACGCTTACTGATGTGTCCTGTTGGTACCCTGAGTCTTTCTTTAGTGGTCGTGTTCACTGGGTTGGGAGTTTCTTGGTAAATGGTGTGGCAAACCTGCCCTGTAACCCATGACTTTGGGACTGGAATATTCCATTTCCAAGAAAGGGTGCTTGATATTTATTTCAAACTGAATCGCTGGCCTCGGAGACGCGAAAATGTGTTTTCCACAAAGTTGTTGTAGAATACCAACAAAATAAAACACTATTGAAAAAGAAAATCATGGGAAAAATTTTACCTCTTTTTCAAAAGTCGAATTGTCTAACTTCCATTAGTGCCTGTCTTTGTTGGAACCGTCTGATAAGTGGACGGATGTAGAGGAAAGTTTCTTATCTATGCGTACAACAAATGACATGTTGTTTGTGCCGGTGTTTTCAAGGGAAATGGTGGCGCCACATCAAAGACTCGTGTTTACGGATTTTAACAACAAAACGCACAAAAATACCAAAGTGTGCTAGTAATAACACGGAATAACATACGTCTTGCTCACTTATTCCCCGTTATGGAGGATTAATATGATTACAAGGTTTACAGCATATGCATCATAGAAATGTGTCATAGTAATGAGTGTATTAGACGCCTGCATCAAATTGCATTACAATGTTATATTATCACGATGATACAACCGTTCTTTACTGTAGTTATCAGCTGCAGCTGGAAACAAGTTCGTAAAAATCTAGAACTTCAACGTTATATAACAGTTTTCAACACTCGGAATATGCAACAAATATTTTCTTTTACGTTATTTCGTCAAAACTAACGTCACAGGATAAGGCATAGGCGCCATGCTTAATCTTTTATATCTGTTTATGTTGAACGGTAACAATGGAACGACGTGGATAGTAACCTTTCATCAGGAAATGGATATGATTGGAATGGGTCCTCAAGGATGACTGCCCGGTCACTGACCTACGGGTACAGAACAGGGCATCCGTCACTGTTTGCTTACACCCCTTTCCACTACAGGTTCCACCAACTAGTGACCAAAAATTAGACCGGTCGCGGAACGAATTTCATTGACGAAGAACGAATTGTATTAAGTTGTGTGTGTTTTTGTTGTATGTTAAATCATATTTTTACATCATGCACCTTATTCTAATGATAAAAGGAAGGTCACACAAATCAAATTTTCGTAGCTCAACAGCCACCATCTAGTGAAAAGGGGGCCTTTCAGGACAGCTTAACCTTATATTGTACATGCACAATATAGTTTTTAAAGGTAGAATAGGTTTTCCTTACATATGTTTTATATATGTCTCTGCTACTGGAAAAAAAAGAACCTCGATCAACTGTCATTGATCTTAATTTACACCATATTTGTAAAATTACAAAATGTGTATTGCAATTCAAGTCTAGTATATTACATGTGAGCATTACTGTACATAATTTACATTATAAATTACAATCAACATTCAAAACAGTACAAACATCACTTTCTTTATCTTGGTTGGACCACAATTCTCCATATTGTCCTGCCTGCCAGTTATTTTCCTTAATTGGACATCTTTGGTAATACAAAAATGTCTTCTATGTACAGCTTTTGTAAAAACCCTGAGTTAAAACTTCAGTGTTCTTGAGGTATATTTACATCATTATACATGCATATCAATTACTGCATTCTTCTGATTGAACCAACCAGTGGTCTCAAATCCAATCAATCAATCTGTCAATCATTATCAATTATAGCTGCGAATCTGAATATGTGGCAGTCATGTTAGGTCAGGGTGATAGCCAGATGTGGCTGACCTTTAGGTCTCAGACCAGAGTTACCTTTACCAGTCTGTAGATAGGCTGGCAACCTAAGGCTGAAGAGCTACAATACCGCAATTGAAGATGCATATAGAATATCTGGCGCAACTGACCATGGACTAACACAAAAAAGGCCTCGCTGGCTAACCAACTTTCCAACATCCTAAAATACTACAATCTTTAAATTATATAAGCTTTACTGTGGTGAATTTTTAAAAGATCTTTGCACATCTGTAATGATCACTGAGCAATGGGGAGCAAAACTTATGTTGACAAGCATACAATTGTGTTCTGATGTATAACCGGATACTAACCGGATTCGAACAGTAGTGGAATGTGCAACATAAAGGAGGTCTAACTAATCTTAAATAGTGACTCCATTATAAGTGGGAGCTTTGTTAGCTTCTGCCTCTTCCCTCTCTGCCTTGAGTCTCTTGTACTCCGGGTGGAGGAAAATGATCTGCACCACTGCAGCTACACAGCTGATCCCTGCAAACACCAGCATGGTCACTAGGGGGAGCAAGGGAGAAAACATTAGTGGCCAGTATGAATGAGGTTTCTGCAGTGCTTGCAGGTCGTGGTCAAAACAATTCTGTAGAACAGTAGAAATACCAAATGTATATTTTGCAGTGTCATGATTTCACATTAAAAGGACACTACAAAAGAAAATCAAACCAAGAGTAAAATGCATTTACAATATTAAAAGTTGCATATACATGTAGAGTATAGTAGTAAGTAACTTCAGAGTTGAATGAGATGAATAAGTTATTTTATACTCTAGAACAGACCTGTGTTGTCCTGAGGCACAATGTCACCGTTTGTCCCACAGTTGGCATAAGGCGCATCACCAGCAGACAGCGGCAGGGCCAGTGCCTGGGCCAGGAACACCAGTATGATACCCTGGATTTGACTGCAAGGATAAAACACCCGTGTCATACTGCTATACTGACAGCAAGAAGAATTCTGCTCCCAAAGTGGCAAACAGTTCTCTTACACAGATCAACTCCCCTGGCATATCATCTGTCTATTTGGATAATGGGAATTTCTACTCTTTCCAGCTGCATCCCCAAGCGTGGTAGAGGCTATTGAGTTACATGTATTTCAGGGACAAGGTTATTAACAGTTGATTTACAGTAGCAACCTGAAGTCTCCCTACCCAGAAACCACCAGCAGCCCAGCACTGGTTGCCTCGGCAACAGGGTAGGAGACCTCCACGGCCAGCTCCAGGCTGATGGGATACAGGGCGAAACCAAAGAAGCCAAAAATCCCTGACGAAACCACCATGACTGCATCTAGGTTCCTGTACCTGGAGAGCTGGTGTGAGTGAGGGGAAATGCATTGGACGCTTTGTTGTGCTCAGACAGTACAATGTACATGAGATCTCAAATCATTGTATACTTCTGGTACAGCATCTAAAAAGTTTCAAATGAGCTGAAAGGCCTCAAATGTCAGGCAAATGTTTCCTTGTTATGTACCGCTGAGTATAGAGGCTCTGTGTGTTTGCTTGGCTCAAGGTAACAGTCTGAATGCTTGACTTGTAAAAGGACTCAAAGACTTGTAGGATAAAGCCATACTTACCACAGCAAGTATAACAAACCCAATCCCTGCCATGGCGTATGAGACTTTAACTACTTCTTGGAACATTTTAGTCTTGTCAACAAAGACCCCCGCCACACCAGCACCAACCACCCCACAGATGATCATTAGTGCTGCACACAGGCCAGATATACTCTGAAAAACAAGGACAGGACTTAAATACAGAAAAAAGCACACCTTCAGAAGTTATACATGACATATGTATATTCAACAACATTTCTAACTCCCAAACAATACACCTTAGCCAAGATGTTTCACAAAAAAATCCATTCAAAATGCTTACACTCAAAGACAGTGACAGACAACTTTTGAAAGTATTTTTCATACTTCACACTGCGAACTATGTTTCGATGTTATGATTATGGTATAACTTGGGGGGACAGAGATTATGAGGGAATGCACTTCACACTTTCAACATTTGTTCCCAAAGAGCTGACCCTGGGTACCATCTTCCAAGTATTTAAAGATGCCCGAGCCATCTTTTTTGCTTCTCAGACAAAAATGAGAGCCAGCGGTAACTATGAAGGATGGTACCCAGGCAACAGAGACTTCACTGTCTCACACTTACATCGTCATATCCCCTGGGACAGAGCACCTGCTCCAGGATAGTAGTCAGGGTGCTGAACAGGCCCAGCCCAGATCCAAACACCACACACAACACCCAGTACTGACGGTTCCTGGCAAGCTGCAGGGGAACATCACACAAAATGGTGTGTTAAGACGTCCTACAGTTACGTGCCTTAGCAACTACATGTATACTTTTGGTGTACTGTGCTAGCAATCTTACTGCTGTTATTACAACCAAAAGAACTAACAGTGTCTTAAATGTTACATGGCATTAGTTCTGCACCATAGGTTTGGTACACCTTGTAGTTGTAGAACTGCTGATTTAGCATAAAGACTTTTGTCTAAAGGTAACTCCCAGGTAATTCATGGTATGACTCACATACTACAGTTCTGAATTTTTACTTAAGTTAATAAATTGTTTGTTCAAACACAAGTGGACAAACATACAGTTGAACATGGTTACTTAGTAGTACTATGTTGGTAGGCATACGATAAAGACAGTGAGTTATGTAGCATTACTCCACAGTGTCAGCACCTTTTTAAGTCCCTGGAAGAACGACTCCGACTCTGCTGCTGCACTGGCAGTTGGTGGGGAGGGCGGCTCACTACTGCACACTCCAAACAAGGCCATCAGCAAACCCAACAATGGGAGGGCACAATATACAGACAGCTGAAAAGATCAGATAATAGGAACCAAGTCATCCATAAAACATGCTGTTTCAGGGACCCCAGGCATACAGCAGTATAATCAAATTCAAAGACTGGATACAGCACTGACAGTAACAAAAGCAATCTTGCCATTATTAGAAGTCATTACAGAGAGTCTAGGAAAATTGTTTTTCTCCATGCAAAATTTGCATCTTGTTTTATTCTTCTGGACTGAAATTTTCTTTGATTTCTAAAGCACAGGAATGTTACCTGTCTAATGCTCACTTAAACAAATAAGTAAGAAGTAAGGAAACATATCTCCCATACCAATAGTACAAAATCATTGGCAGCGTGCTTGTCTGTGGTAATCAGAGCCGGGGAGAGGATGTTAGCCAGCAGCAGACCAAGAGGATTCGCTGGGGAAAAATGGACAAAACAAAGTGACATATGACATACAGTCTACATGTATATTGCTGAAGACTTCTAATGTGTCCAATTTGACTCACCAGTTTTAAATGAGCTAAATGAGTTTCCTAACTTTCACTCAATTTAAACAAGAAATTAGAGATTTCAGACTTCTGGTGAGTACTTTGGGTTTTCCTCAGACACTCAAGTTCACCCAATTTCCTGTGTATGACCTTTGGACATCCTGTCATTGTATCTGTCAACCTTCCCCCACATACATGTTGCCAACCTACTCTGTCTGCACAAACTGACACAAAAAAAACTCAAACCCCAAAAATGTAAGTGGGAATAAAAAACAACAAGGCAACATGTTCCAACACACAGTTGATACTTACACATGGAGCCAATCATGTTGGCAGTGGCCCTCTCGTTTTGTGCAAACCACACAGCAGCCACCTTGGCGGGAGACTCTATGATGAACGGCTGAGCGACAGCAGCGACAGTCTGACCAATCAGCACCAAGGGAAAGCGTACAGAGTCGGACATGTCCATTGGGATGGCACTCACCACCCTCAAACCAGGACCAATCAGATTCAGGCATGCTGCCAGGATGATCTGAAGTCATCGGAAGAAACAGAAGAAAACGTCCAGTACATGGCTTATGCTGTAATTTATGTAATATTATACTTATCAGTTTGATCTTGACACAACTGGTGATTGGTCAAAAATTCACAATAAAAGAGCACTACAAACAGAACATACCCCTGCTCTCAGTCCCAGAGTATCGAGGAGCCAGGTTGCCAGCAGACCCAGGGGGATGGAAGCGATCATGTACACCAGAGACAGCCAGTTCACCGTGGTCAGAGACACGTTATAGAACTCTGCTGTCTGGTCCGCGATGGGGGCAAAACTCAGCCAGATCTGCAACATCAAGACAAACACATTTTATGCTGACCAAGGGGGTTATAGGCACATCAATCTCCCTGTGACTATCACATAACTGCCTTATGGCAACAAATTTGAGATGGAAAAATTTAATCATTATGACACCAGTGTAATTCAAGAAAAAATTATGATGCTGGATTTGGGTATACTTGTTCTTGTATTGTTGGCTGGCATGGATATTATGATATATGACAAACACAACAAATAAGGCCTACATTAAAGTGCAAACCTAAGATAATAATTTAGGGCCAATAATTAATGCCATAATAATTTGCACTGCACTGTGTTTTAGGGTGGGGCTGCTGAGATAAAACGCCAGGATGACAATTATAATATATTACGTATATACTATTGCTTTCTACAAAAATCAGTACACGTGCACGTGCGAGGTTAACATTGAATGGTGAATAGGGAGCCTGGAATAGGAATGGGACGGTGGCCGGTAAAACGTAAAGGTTACTCGCGATCACAGGGTTATGAGTAACATATAGGTCCAGGTTACTCACGGTTCCATTGCTCAGGTTCAACACACACAGAACTGCTAGAATGAACCAGCGTCTTCTGTAGACTCTGTAGTCTGTAGTCGATCTTTCAACATTGACGCTGCTCTTCAGGAGCGACTCTTGATCGTTCCCGTTAACGACTTCCATGTCTGGTGTTATCCATGCATGCAGCAAACTCACTGTCACAAGACGGGACCAGCTGGTAGGGCAAAGTTCATCTGCAGTTTTTAATAATTTCTCTAGAGGTCGCTCATGCCTGGGCCACAGCTCAAGGCCAGGGAACCGAACTCAAAGCAGATACTGGGAGGATTGATATACTAGTAACCAATGCATGTAGCTGAGTGGCGGGGGAGCCTGCAGTACTATGCAAAATGATCTTGCAAACCTGAGTTGCTACTTCTAAATTTTTAACTTTACTATATTCTAGTGCCCCAATCACAATTCACGGCCATTCATCCTCTCTTGCTGCAATGAATGAGCTGAAAGCTGTTTTATATATAAAACTCCTTGCTGCAATGTGGTCATTAGCATGCTAGCAATATACTAGTACGTTCATCATCACTCATGTATCAATCCGCCAATCTATCTAGCGCCAGCAGAAAACGTTGATCCAACAGGTGGCAGCATGCCAGCAAATCATTTTAATTTCTTTTATCATATTTTGTCCAAATGGGAAGGCCTGTTTGAACATGTGTAACAGTGCTAACTGACCGTGCTAAAGGGTCGTGCGACCTTTTAGTGTAGTGGTTAGCATTGGTGACCGCCAAGAAGCAAGGTGAAAATTTCCGAAGAGAAGTTGATAATTCTGATGACATTCGGTAAGACCCAGGGCTCACCTGGCGGTTGCTATGGTAACTGCCGCTAGAAGCTTCCCGTAGCCCCAGAGTGCACTGGGAATTCAACATGGCGTCGTACAGTGAGTGGTTAAGTTACCTGCAGTCAGCGGAGAAAACTGCGCTCGTCCAGGACGGTGAGTACGCTAAAGTGTTCCTAGTCATCAACTACACTATCATGCAAAGCTTGTAAATCAATAATGTAGCACACCGGAGTCGATTGGTTTTAAATATGATTGCAAGATACAAGTTGCAATCGGCATGGGGAGGGGGGCTGTAACAACGTTACACTGATGTGTAGCCGTGGACGACTCTGGTACACCTTTTTGCATGATAATGCCGGTGACAGAGTCTCTGTCACCGGCATTATCATGCAAAAAGGTGTACCAGAGTCGTCCACGGCTAACTGATGTGATGTTTTTTTATTCAAAGCATAAGTTTGAGTAGCCGTGGCGACTCTTGACTCGGGCTTACATTGCATTACCCTCTGCAAGAGTCGTGGAAAGATCCATTGGCAGAACTGCACATTTCCCGTTGGCTGCTCGATGCTCCGTTTTTGACCCGGTTTTTTGCTGTCCCGAGCTTCCCTACAATATAACTCCACAATTGGCCGGGTTGCCGATGTTCAGATCGGCCTAAATATTCCACAGCGCGACGGGAAAGTACTAAAATAGCTAGTCGGTACATCCGCGCCGCCATTTTGGATATAGTCGGGAATGTCCGCTACCGCCGTCGGGAACGCTCGGTAGCGCCACGATTACCGAAGCGGGACCGAAAACTCTCCGATCATAACCGGAAAGCCTACCGAGCGTTCCCGACGGCGGTAGCGGACATTCCGGACTATATCCAAAATGGCGGCGCGGATGTACCGACTAGCTATTTTAGTACTTTCCCGTCGCGCTGTGGAATATTTAGGCCGATCTGAACATCGGCAACCCGGCCAATTGTGGAGTTATATTGTAGGGAAGCTCGGGACAGCAAAAAACCGGGTCAAAAACGGAGCATCGAGCAGCCAACGGGAAATGTGCAGTTCTGCCAATGGAT